CCAATGGCCTCTTTTCGCTGGTTGGAATAAACAGGAACTTTTATTTTAAAATTGTTGTTGGATTGTTGGGTTTTTTTAATATTCACCACCTACCCACCAAAATATGCAATAGAAGAAAGGGCAAATAATTTTCCTTTAAAAATACCCTCTGTCCGCTGAATGGTAAAAAAATCACTTTTATAAAAAGTTTTTAAGTTTTAAATTAAAAAAACTAGATTATCTGTTTCAGCTCTCTCTCTCTCTCTCTCTCTCTCTCTCTCTCTCTCTCTCTCTCTCTCTCTCTCTCTCATACAAAGACAAAAACAACCCTTCCTGGCGGGGAATAGAACCCCGGTCTTTCGCGTGACAAGTGGAGATAGTACGCACCCCCATAACTACACTGATGACACACTCCTTTTACGGCAAAATAATATATTGGATATGTTCAAAGTGGTTTACACACGAATTTCAACAAGACCACACATAGGTCACGTTCAACAGCCGCGAATCGAAGTTACCGGGGTTTTTAGGTTAAAATAATTTGGACTGATAAGTAGTAGAAGCAACAACAACAACAACAACAGGTGACCTCCTCAGGACGTACGTGAGCTTAAAGTAAACTGATGTCGTAGAACAAACTATACTAATAAGATCGGAGATATGTGTATACGCCAGTTTTAGGTCTCTTGTTTAAGCTACGTGACAAAAAGCACACGCTGCATAAATCTTCTTTCACAGTCTGTTGCAAGGCTGAAGACGCATGACAATCAAAAACACTGTAATGAGATCGGGGGTTAGTTATTGGCCAGTTTTGAGTTTCTTGAAAGAGCTACGTGAGAAAAGGCAAGCACTACATAAAATCTTTTCACACTATCAGTTGCAAGACCGCGCGGATTTTTAAAAAAAGAAAAATACCCCCCCCCCCCCCTTAACCTAACGAATAGCCATCGTGCCGCAAATAATTGTTGATCGCACTTTAAGAATGATACCTACAAAGCAGTTAAAACTTCGAGGCGTAACTTATCTTTGAATGTCTCTTTAACGAGTGAGTCAATGTCACCCATACTTTGCATACCAGTTTGGGTCAATTTGTCTTATCTTAATCATATATTCCCACCGTAGCTGAAGCTTGGTTTAAAATCTTTTCTTCATAAGTATATAAACATAAAATACTACAAATCTCCGTCTAACAGAAAATAGCATTTCCCACTTCTTACACACACTTTGCATACGTATGTGGCCTACGTGACAGCTCACCAATGACACTTTTCAGTGGTAAAACTTTGGTCCAAGGATAATTAACGATCTCCTGATAAATGACAAGTGAAGTTGTAAAGAATTTCTGCCCATACTTTATAACTAGTCTGATGGGAAGCAGAATGGTGGTGAGAAGAAATCGTAGTCGGACACTGCGACAGGAAGGTGCCTTGTTTTATTTGATACCAGTGCGAATGTGCGACTCTTCAAGCAATCTTCATTGACTTTCACAAACAACCCTCAATAATACAATAATATGTTAGTATATAACATACGAGTTAAAGGAGTGAAGAACAGTAAACAGTATACCAAAATCCTATTCAGTAGCCATGCGCTGCTGCCGGTTCGTCTGGGTTGAACAATACCAAAAAGTTATCATCCGTGGTTGCAATAAAAAAAAACATAGGTTAAAAAAAGACACTTTAAGTATTGTTCTGGCACTAAACGTCTCATAAAAGCATAGAGTCGCGATTACAAGAAGTAGGACGGATTTGCTTTTTTTATCCCAGCTCATAAAATGTAAGCCTTTTTAAAATATGTAGAAACCATCGACTGGGTTTGTTTTTTTAAATCAGTATTCTAGAATATAGCGCACATGTGTTTAATCTGTTGAGAAAAATTGATATAAGTCCTAGCAAAGATCATAGTGCAAAAGTCGGAGAGTCTAGCCTCTATAGCTGGGGAGATATCTGGCAATACGTCGCGCCCCGAATTTTTGACCGCACTATAATATATTATAATACATAGTAGGCTTACACCTGCGTTTACTTCGACACCGCTGACAGTCCGCGGGCGCGTGTGCCAAGTGATTTGTGTGGCCCCGCGGTCGCCGCAATCTGGACGTCAGACCAGGCAAACTGTCGGTCGGTCGGTCGGTCGGTCTGTCGGTCGGTGGCGCGAGCCAGCAGCCCTGGTGGGTATCGGCACGCGAGACTGAATGAAGCGGAGTAGGCGCGCTGCCGTTACTACTTCTTGCCTACCCCACCGCGACCACCACTGACAAGAGGGCAATTGAACTTGGGCGGGGGCAGTGTTCCCACTTGATTGAGGCTGTCTGGAGTGTATACGCTTCATAATACGTAATTAGAATGCGACTATTTCTCGGCTGTCCTTGTTGGCAGAGTGAAAGATTCGGGAAATAACTTTTACCGCACTATGTGAGTATCCAAAGAAAAATGTTACACTGTTGTTGTCTTTTTAAGTTGACGTTCTTATTCATTAATTTTTGGGTAGCTCCTTTAATTTTGGCTAGGATAGCTGGATTGTTTGTACCCTCTTGATTTGTTGAGTTTTGTTTGTTTGTTTGTGTGTTTTCTGTTTTCATTATGCTTTATTTTTTGTTCTTTTGCGGGTACTGGG